AGGCAAGGGAAACCAAGATTCAACAGACAACCAAGCATCTTAACATCATTTTCCCACTTTTACCCCTTCAAACCATGCCTCAATCTTTGTATCCACGAGCCCTGTTTTTCCACATTTGTACTTAGATCATTATTTACCTCTGTCCTATTTAGCCCATGTAATCCTGCCTAGCTATTCTCCCATTCACCTTATTTTGCCTTTCCCCTTCCCCTTCTAGTGTATTGCGCCACCCTCCAGCACCAAACTATCCTGTGTGCATTCCATAACCTGTGTTCCACTATCCTGTGCCTATTCACTACTCTGTGCTCCAATTTCCCTCCTTCCCCCTCACCCCACCCCATACAGCTCAGTAACAACAACAACAAATTTTTTTAAATTAAAATAATAATAATAACAATGTTCTATATCCTAAAAAAAAGAAAAGAGAGAGAAATGCACAGACTTCCTGTTGAGAAGGTCCTCACAGTATGCCAGGGGCATAGGCACTAGAGTTAAATCCATAAACAGTGTGCTAAGTGCAGTGAGCAAGTAGATCTAACCTAGCCAAGCAGGGAGTGAGCCACAGAAGGTCTCCTGGAAGAGGACATGCCTACAGCAGCCCATCCATTTTCCAGCAGCTCTAATGCTTTCCAGCCATTCTGCTTCTTTGTGGTTGAACCTGGTTCTGTTTGGTCTTTGGCGTCTGCAGGTCACTCAGTGACACTAAAGAACCCTAGCTGGAGATTACATCATAAGCTCAGAAAGGCTAACGGAGGTTAAGATCTTCCTGTGATCTTCTAAAGGCTTTCTCTGGCTGTAGCCAGGCATTGGGGGCAGTCCTAGAGGGTGTGGATTCTATTCCTGACTTCTCCCTCTGACTCAGCTGGAAAGAAATCTGCTTTAGAGAATTTTAGATGAAGGGTTTATTAGGCTGAAATCAGTCCTTTTGCTGATCCCAAATCTCCAAGGGTTAGTCTTGGAACCACTAACAAAATTTCTATCCACACTCAGGGAGGCAGAGCATGCCATATCTGGTCACTCGCCACCTCTCTCATCTGCCTGTCCTTCTTTCAATTATATTTTATTGTTGTTGTTCTTAAGTGCTGTCGAGTTGGTTCCAAACCATTGTGACCCTGTATAGGGTTTCCAAGGAGCAGCTAGTGAGCTTGAACTGCGGACCTTGTGGTTCAAACAGACCTAGCAACCCAGTGCATTAAGCCATAGGGCCACACTCTCCTAGATACTTTGAAACACATAGTCACATTTCCTTTTTTTTTAAGTTTTTATTGTGAATTGAGTGAAAGTTTACAGGGCAGCAGATCATCAGTTTTACGTTCAACAAATCATATACTTTGTTTCATTACAATGATTATAATCCCTTCCATGTACCATCAGTTAACAATATTTCTCTCTATTCATTTTTTTTTTTTAAACACTCAGGCATATATAATCATTTAAATCACCAAAGGGCACATTCTGCAAGTCTGCCTCCTGACCACCAGCTGTCAGTCCCTCTCTTTACATGTATCTAGAGTCCTCAGTTGCTTCCTCTCTCCATGTCCCCATCTCTGCCTCCATTTCTGGTGTCGCTGCTTCTCTGGATAAGGTCCTGTGTTCTGCTTGTGCACTTCTCCCTTGATGGTCCTCTGTTTCTGGACTGTAAGATGAACTAAGCCCCTATTTTTGTTAGAAAACTCCTACCTTTACAATTGTGACAGTCACAATTAGTCATGAAAACAATTACGCACTACTGGATCATAAGAATCTTATCCTCATCTCTTTTTACCAGACCCATCTAGACAAGATGAAAACTATTCAGTGGGGACTCCATTTTCCATATTTACTTTTCATAACAACATTAATGTATTCACTAAACATTTATTCAGTGCGAGGCACTGTTCTAGGGATTGGGAATACACATACCTTCACTCATCAACTGTCTCGTTATCTGTCATTTCACATTTATGAAGACAATAAAAAATCTGCTTTCCAGCTACTTTGTGCATTAATGATTTATGTCTGACAATAATAAGCAGTGAGCGCAATGCTGGCTGTGATGGGTAAGTTTATGCGTTAACTTGGCTGGACCACGATGCTCAGTGGTTTGGCAGTTATGTGATGATGTAATTTGACAGTTACAAAATGGGGTAATTTTGCAGTTATGTATTGATGTAGTCATCTTCCATTTGGTGATCTGATGTGGTTATCCATCACTTTCACATAACATCAATGCTGGCATAATGGCCTGGTCATTGAAACCCAGCCATGTCAATCAAAAAATAAGGAGTGGGTGTATGTTGTTGTTAAGCGCCGTCAGGTCGGTTCCAACTCCTAGTGGCTCTATAGGTTTCTGAGCCTGTAAAGCTATATAGGAGCAGAAAGCCTCATCTTTCTCGAGCAGAGCAGCAATTTGATCTTGCAGTTAGCAGCCCAACTTGTAACCTACTACACTGCCAGGTGGGGTGTACAGCCATGAAAAATAGATAGAAACGTCTGACCTTATGGAGCTTATAATAATATGAATATAATATGCCTAAGATAGTGCGTAATAGAAGAATTCACTGAGAAGTACAATTTAAAAAAACAACAACAAAAAAACCCAAGCAATAGCTGGTGATATGAAGTTACAAAAAGAAATGTACTGTGTATTTTTCCCTTTTAACTAAAGAAGGCAACCAGATAGCATAGAAACTGTTGCACATTTAAAGTCACTTTGATTATTTACTACTGTACTTAAAAATGCAAAATGCTCCCCTTGATTTTCTCCTAAAATTGTACTGCTTAGAATACAAAGAGATATGAAAGCCCATAAAACATAATGTAAATTTACGAGAAAAACTTTTTCCTCCCTAGAAAGGATAGAGCCAAAATGGGTCTCACAAGATACCTTTTCTATCACAGCAGCACCTGTGGTGGGGGTTGGAGGACTTCAGGGTGACGGGGAAGGATACCTGTACTTTAGCTCCTGTCTTTTGGGGAAGAGGAGAACATGAATAGTGAGACAGTGGGGATGAGAAGGGAAGGAGACTCACTCAACAACAAAATAAATACAGTAAGAGCAAAGCTCAGAGGGCAGAAAGGGAGAGAGGGACCAATGGACATGGAGTATACAGGGAGGAAGTGGGAAGAGCACTGTTAAATTGCCAGAATTACAACTAAAGTCAAGAAACAAAATGTGCATAAAGTGTTGAATGTGAAACTAATGTGATTTGTAAACTTTCATCCAAATCACAATAAAATATTCAATAAATAAATACAATGGGAGTTATACCCTGAGGTGTTGAATTGAAATTGCAGGTATCTGTAGGAGGCTGTTATTAATATGTAAGTCTATAGAAAGATGAAGGAAAAATATAAACATGTGTGTGAGTGTGTGTTTATGTGTATTTGATACCCCCTTCCACTGGGAGGTTCAAGAAGCATTGATACTCCAGTAACAATGAGCACATCTCCTATCAAGATCTTGGTTTATAAATTCCATTTCCATTCAAAGAAACCAAGGATCTTTGAAGAAAAGATTACTGTCAGGGACAAAGCACAGGAAGAACAATAAATATGAGCCTAGACTATCTTGTTCTGTCAGAAAGCAAGGAAATACCAAAGAATGACAGTGATAAGGGCACAGGGTACGCTTTTAGAAAGTTCAAGTGGCAAACGTTTTTGCTTTTACCACAATAAAATCATTTTTTAAAAAAGGGACACAGAGCCAGTTTGAAGGAATTCCCAAATGATTAAATGTAGGGCAATATGAGGTCAAACTAAAATAATGATCGTAATGTTTTATAATCTTCTGAATGAAAAGAGTCAAATAATCCATGAGTCCATAATAAAGCAAATTTAAATAATAAATAGGGGAGGATGGAAAGAAAGAAAAAAAGAAGACGGGAAAGAGAATAAGGAGATGGAATAGAAGGTATGAGAGGAGGGTATAACATGTTTTACATGAAAAATATAAATGTTGTTAAGTGGTGTCCAGTAGGTTCTGACTCATAGTGACCCTGTACTAGTCAGAGATAAAAAGAGAAAATCTGGGGAAAAGGGGCTCCAACAACATTAAATCTTGGAAAAAGGGGCTCCAACAACATTAACAGCCCACTTGATACTCCCCTCCCAGTATACTTTACATATTTTAATGAATACATCTCATTGTTGGTGGTAGTGTGTCTCAACTCCTCGTAATTCATAGTGATCATGTATAGGGTTTCCAAGGGTTTTTAAATCTTTGTAGGAGCAGGAAAGCCTCATCTTTCTACTAACTGGTGTGCTCAAACCTCCAACTTCGTGGTTCACTGTCCAGTGCTTATTCTACAAGCCACCACATCTGAACTACATTTGATATGAGTCAGAATTGACTCAACTCGAAGACGGGTACTTAACACCACCACCACCCAACTAGATTATGTGCTTCCTAAGGGCGTTGCAGGTTAAGGCACTGGACTGCAAGGTCACGGTTCAAGCTCAAGGTCACCAGCCGCTTCTCATAAACCCTATGTTGTTGTTGTGTGCCCTCTATTTCCAACCCATAGGAACCCTATATAGGGTTTCCAAGGAATGACTGATGAGCTTGAACCGCCAACCTTGTGGTTCAAACAATTTTGCAGTACAGCGCATTAACCCGCAGCGCCACATCAGGACTCCCAGAAACCCTATAGAGGGTCGCTATGAGTTAAAACCAACAATGACAGCACTTAACAACAAGTCATCATCTCATGTGATGCTGTAGGATAAGCACTGGACCACAAGGTCAGTTTGAACCACAAGGTCGGCAGTTCAAACTCTCCAGTTGTTCCTCGGAAACCCTATATAGGGTCGCTATGAGTTTGAGTTAACACAAAGGCACTTAACAACAATAATAACAAGGGCAGGGATAGTCTTGCTCATCTTTAAATTCCCAGGATGTAGCAGAATCCTTGGAGAGTAATAGACACTTCAATCAATAATTGTAGAAAAACGGAAGCAAATAAAAACATAGCCAACACTCACAGTATGACAGCTTTACCTGTTCTGTTTTACTGTATTAACTAATTTAAACAACAAGAAAAGGAACCACTGCACCGGGGGTGGGGGTGGGAAGTTAAGTATTTTTGCAGTTCAATAAAGGTATGGTGCTTTGAAGCTGCCAAACACCTCTGGGCCAAATATGGAGCAGGCTCCTAGAAACCCAACACATGAAGCGGGGATTGGTGGTGGTAACTATTGCACTTGACAAAGGTGCTTAGAGTCCACCAAGTGGGAAGCGAGGCAGAGGAGACTGATCCAGAGCACTGTGCCAAGTGTAACACCAGCACACGTGCATTTTAGAAGCACCGAAGGAGTGACTGAGGGGAAGAGTGTCAGAGAGCAGAGTGGTATGACTTTTAATTTACAGCTGAAAAAATGTCCGAAGCGCTGAAATGTAAAATAGCATTTCAGTGGTGCTGTCCCTGCAGGTTTAACCATAGAAGCAACGATCCAGGAAACTTGACCTCCAGAGTTTACCAGGCTACTAAACCATCCTCCCTACCTCCCCCAAACAAACCCAGTGCCATCAAATTGATTCTGCCACATAGTGACTCTGTGAGGCAGGGAACTGCTCCCTAGGGTTTCTGAGACTAAATCATCACGGCTCACGATGCAGCTAGTGCGTTTGAACCTCCGACCTTGAGGTTAGCAGCCCAATGCGTAACCCACTGTGTCATCAGGGTGCTCCTGTTGTTATTGCTAAGTGTCATGGAGTCGATTCCGACTCACAGCGACCCTGTAGCGGGTTTGAGCTGCCGACTTCCTGGTTAGCAGTACAGTGCTTATCCTATACAGTGCCACATCAGGGCGCCTAATCTGAACAAATTATTGAACTAAGCAGGTGGCTTCAATAAAACCACAAGCCAGCCGCTCTGTGGTAGAAAAATGAGATTTTCTGCTCCCGCAAATATTTAAAATTTAGGAAACCCTATACTGAGTGGCTATGAAGTCAGACGGCACTTAACAACAACAAACAACAAATAATTACACATTCCCCTAAAAATACTCTCAGGGTTGTTAGTGTTAAATGCCCTTGAGTCGGTTCCGACCCATAGCGACCCTGTATAGGGTTTCCGAGGAGCGGCTGGTGAGCTTGAACCGCCTACCTTGCAGTTCAAACGGCCTTGCAGTCTGGCGCATTAACCCACAGCACCACACCAGGGTACCAAACCCAAAAATGCACTGCCTTCCGAGTCTCTTGTGAATGTAGAGGCTCTTATGCTATCAATAAAGTTTTTTCTTTAAATGCGCCATGCTAACCCAATGCGCATGCTCATTGCTCACGTGGCAAGTCTCCCGACAGCCGCTTTTACTTCCCTTTGCTCGCCCACCCCTACGGAAATTCAGTCCGCGGCTCTTGCAATGCACATGCACTTACTGTGTCGTTATCTACATCTCCGAGGCAGATTGCATGCGGGAAGAGGCTTCCACTAAACTCCAGAGCCACGCGCTGCACATAACTAACCGATCTCATTGTACTTCTTGAGAGGTCCGGAGCCCAACTCAATATCCCCCGAGCCTCCCTCCCTCCTGACAGCCGCCTAACAGCCGCCGAAGCGGAAGGCCACCTAAAGCGGAAAGTTACGTCACCGTCTGAGCTTCCAATCCCTGCCTTCCTCGCTTAACCTTCTAGAGGAGGACAGTCTTCGGAGCCTTCTGGGCTTGGAGGCGGGCTTCCCCAGCCAATGATGTGAGTGACAGGGGAATAGGCCTCTCCTTTTCTCTCGAGGACTGGTGCTCCTGGGTAAACCAACCCTGATATAACCTAGCTGTTTCCTTAACAACAGGGCTCTCTAAAGGCTGATTCTAATAGCTTAGACCTCTTTGGTGGCCCTGGCAATGAAGACTCCCAGCCATTAAACCATCCCTGAGAATCATATTAATAAGCATAATGAACTGACATACGGTTTCCAACGTTGTTTTTTTTAAAAAACTTGGTCCTGTAGCTACCCTTAAACCAAAAAAACAAATTCGTTGCTGTGAAATCCGACTCAGGGTTGGTAAAGGGTAAAACTGTTACTTTGGGTTTTCTTGGCTGTGAGCTTTACTCAAAAGAAAGACCTGGTGACTGCTTTTGAGAGGTCACAGCCTTCAAAACCCTGTAAACAGTTCAGCTCCACACATGGGTTAACCATGAATTGGAATCAACCCGAAGGTAAGGAACAACAGGAAGAGTGAATCACCAAAGAGTCTTTAGAAGAAACCTGATCAAAAGCGGGAAAATGCACAACAGAATTTCAAATTTCAGACTTCCTGGGCCATGAAGGCTGGATGAACCCCTGTGAGAAATAAGTCTTGTGGTCCATCTTCAGGAATTCATGAGATTGCAAGACCTGGCCGCCAGATGTTGCTTTAAGCAGGCTATTCTGGGACTAGGAATTTTAAATAAAAATACAGCCATTAAGACCTTGGGCAAAGCCATTTTGGCTTCTCTGGGGGGAGGGAAAATGGGATGTACCATAAAATTGTATATGGAGAATTGCAACTGGAGGAGGGGCTTTTGGGGGAAAAAGAATAGAAAATGTTTGTGGAGGGCCATTTGGCGCGTCTGCCCTTGTCTATAGGGCTGGGTGCCCGATTTTGCAAAATCGAATAAAGAAAACCTCACTCGCTAAAATGAGTGCAGATTGGCTTACTTGAAAATTAGTCAGTATAGACAACGGTTCTCACACCCCTGAAACTATTGTCTTGAAATAATTTTTACACCTTAAGCCCAAAATATCCCTTGAAGTCTTCTTACAACCAAACAGACAGTAGTTTAATTTGACTGTAAAAAATGTATGCTTTGAGCTTTATGCCATTTTAAGAATTGTCTGTATGGAATTAATTGTTGCCATGCTTGAGTTGATCGATGCTGCCACCTGGCCAATCCATCTCATTGGGGGTCTTCCTCTTTTTCTCTGACCCTCCACCTTACCAAACATGATATCCTTCTCCAGCTGTTACAGCAATTTTAGATTCGTGGTTGAAGAAACCAAGGCCACTCAGAGGTGAAGCAGAGTTTCAGATTTTATTAAGCCGGCTGACTCAGAGGAGCTAATTTCTCCAGATTCTGAGCCCCGGATAGAGGGCAACACGGGCCTATAATGGGGTCAGAGTCGGGGAGGGGCCAGGCTGCATACTTGTTTGAGGGCAGGGGGCAAACCAGGGGGACTGGTCCCATTTGGTGACCTGATTAGCATTTTAGCTTGCCTCCTGGGCTGGAGAGGGCAGTGAATGATTTTTACCTTTTCCTGTTCATTTCCCCTCTTTTGATGCCCTTTGGGACCTTTTTCCCAGGGACATCTTCTATGTAAGGAATGGTATTTTGGTATTGTTTTGGATTGTTGGTACTCTTTTCTATTGATTATTGTTTTAATGGCAGTTCCTATGGCCCTGATTGCTAGTGGGAGGAGGCATGGACTGATTAAGTAAATTCCAAATAAAACAGACTCCAGCCACAAGAGTCTTTAACCTTGTAAAGGTGAAGAACTACCCTCCCTGTAGGCTCTGTGGGTTCCACCCATTCCAGGTTTACACAGGGACATGGGCAACTTTCTGCATTTTTACAAGGTCTTCTACTGCTGGATTCTGGTCATCTACTTGTATGCAGCAGTTAGCAAAATTAACTTTCTCACATACCCCTCCTCCCTCTGCAGCCAATAAGTAGTTTAGGGCCAATCTATTTTGATAGATGGCATTTCGTATCTGGGTCTGTTGACATGCAAGAGGGATTAGGGCCACCCCAGTTCCATTGGTTCAGTTACCTAGGAGGGTGCCCTCACTTTTAGAAGAGTTGCGTGGTTACTCTTTGGCCCACCTTGGTGGTGTGGGTGTATAGATTACACAGATTTCTCCCTTTCTCACACCCTAAAGTCTAATTAAAGTGAATCCCACGGCAGACATCCTCATGCTTTGCCTTGCGTAAATCAGCCAGCTCCCGGTTTGTGGCCGGGTTGTACATCTCAATGTTACCTTGTGAGGGTTGGTAGGGTCAGTTTCAGCTTCTCATGGAGACAAGGCTTTCTTCAGTCTGCTGTGGTAAATCCAGGTGGGGACTCCTTCTACCTTGGCTGCTGGGCTTGGGATAATTTCTTGTTCTAGTCCTCAGTAATCTTTGCAGATGCTTGTGAATACCCTCCTGAAAGCAAAAACAAATCAGATACATTTATCACACTCTGAGCTAAATAGGCCCAAATGTTTTTCATCCCATTGAAAGGAATAATGTCGTGTCCAAGTTGAGTCTGGCTAACTTGACAGCTAACAGGGTGGCTAGAAAGACTTCCCAGGGTCCAGTCCACTTTTTTTCTCTAACTGGTTTTCAGGTCCCTCTCTCCATGTTCTGAGCATTATGATTTCCACGCTGGAAGGGATCAGGTTACCTGTAGGGAAGGAAGCAGACCTGGGAAGAGCAATTTTACAAATAACAGAAAGTGTGTGGTGGAGGTGTTGTGTGTACTACTGTACCTTTAAACCTTGGCTGAGGTCAGGTAGAGGGTTGAGGGAAGCTGCCTGGGAAGGCTTACTGTATACAACTTTATAAGGGCTCAATTTAAGCCCGCTTCTGGAGGCTATTCGAAACAGGGCTAAGGCAACACCTGGTCCCAGTGTAGCTAAATTTCCTGACAGTTTTGTCATTTGTCTCTTTAGAATATGGTTCTTTTTCTCGAACCTCCATGTTGAATGCCATCTCCATTTAATCTGTAGGTGCTCGCTGCTCTGTTGTCACTTTGGACACTCTGGAAGTCCAAACTTGGAGGTAATCTCCTTCAAGAGGATTTTTACTATATCTGAAGTTCTTAGTTCTGGTGGAGGAAAACCTCTACCCAACCAGAAAAGGTGTCTACAAAAACAAAACCAGCAAATATTTAATTCCCCAGCTTGGGGGCATCTGCATGAAATCAACCTGTTAATTTTCAGTGGGTTGTTTACCTTGGTATTGGTGCAGGACAGCCTGTCTTGGGATTGCTCTTGAGGCAGGTACCAGTCAGAGCTAACCTCCTGAATGATTTTTTGGAAAATTTCTTGTTCTAGTGCCAGGGCCTATGAACCAAGTTAGGGCCTCTTTCTGTAGTTGGTCATTTCATGGGCTCATTTAAGAAGAACAGGTGCTAGTTTTCACAGGATCAGAACCATTCTATTGAAAAGACATTTACTTTTTAGCTTTTAACTTCTCAGAATCATAACAATTCCATTGCCATCTACTTTTCATCCTTTAACCCCTCTCTCAAATCCTTCTGCCTCAGTTCTACTAAAGTCCTCTGGGTACACATTCAATTTTTCTTGCCAACATTTCTAATGCTCTCGTCAGTGCAATCAGTTCCGCTTTTATTGAGCCGAGATTCCTACCAGGATGACTATTGCTTCTACCTGGCCTTGTACGATTACCATTACACATCCTGCTATCTGAGTCCCTTTTTCCATGTAACTACTTCTGTTCACGAATAACGTGTAGTCCACCAGATATAGTCAAATAGGTCAGGTTGACTGAAAAGTAAATAGTCAATGATTTATATAATCATGGTTCAGTTGCCACATCAGGGGAGGATGGCAGGTTTTGTTGCCCCCTAATTCACAGGGTAATATTCAGATTGTCCAGTAAAAAAACCTGGTATTGCCTGTCCGTCCTGTTGGGAGCCATAGGCTTCCTTCTTTAGCAGCAGGGAGATGGCTTGATGGGGATGGGGACGAGCTGGCCAGAATGAAAATCTCGGGCCTCTTTTCTGAGAGGATATTGGTTTCTGTGGGATGGTCAGTTCCCAGGCTTCAGTCAGACCTCAACTGGGGATGCTTGTTGGCTCTTCCCAGAGTTCTGCTAGTCCACACGGGGGCAGTTACCTGATCATCTGTTTCCTCAGGTCAATGTGACTGGTTTCCGGAGTTTGAATCAGTAATTTCCAGGCATGTTCATGGGGAACCTCCACCTGCAGACTTTTGGCTTCAGAAAGCTGTTTCAACATGCAACTCTGGAAGCAGGTCCTAGCCCAGTAAGAGGACCAGACAGTTATTTTCTTTTCCCCAATGAAGCAGTCCAGGGGTTTCAGGAAGAGTGCGATCTCAGTCACCATCACTGTCCCCATTATTATTTTCAGCTGAGGTCCTGGTGGTGGGGGTTATAGGGGTGGCAGAGGTTTATGCCAAATCATGCTGAGCCCGTTATCCCCTGACACCGTTAGTCTTCTGCAAACAATGAAACTTGTTCAACCATCTGTTCAGTTGAATGGCTTTTTCTGTCTGATACTCCCCTGAGATTTGGGCATTTATTTTTCAGTGTCCAAGTTTTTGCATAAGCACATCGGTCCTTGCTTAAGGCCCTCGTTCCTTTCTGGGGTGCTCCCTGGGGTCCCACAGGCTTACCTCTAGTGGTCTTTTAGGAGGACAGTTACGGCCTGAAATTTCTTGTGCTCTTGGCTATTAAATACCTTGAAGGTGATGTCCACTAGTTGGGATGTATTCATGCCTATTGCCCTGTCAAATTTCAGCCATTTCTTTCAA